GCTGATTAGCAATCTTAATTCCATCTGCAACCTTAATTTCCCTATGTCACATTACCTAACACGTTCATAGGGATTAGGACGGAGGTATCTTTGGGAAATGATTATTCCGCCTATCACGCTACCCAAAATAATTCAGTGCAATGTCCACTGGAACACTTGTACAAGATTGTTTATTGCAGGCTACCTTAGTCTGTTCTTGCTACTATGACAAAATTCCTTAGACTGGGCAATTTATAAATAATAGAAATTTATTTCTCATGGTGCTAGAGGCTGGAAAGTCTGAGATTAAGGCACTGGCAGGATTGGTATCTGGTGGAGACTAGCTCTCTGTTTCCAAGATGGTGTCTCTTGTGTCTTTACACAGCAGAGGGGGCTAGCTAGTTCTCTTGTGCCCTCTTTTGTAAGGATACTATCCCATCTGCCCTGGTGGCCTAAACAACTCCCTAGGGCTTCCACCTATTAATAGCATCACCTTTGGGGTTCAGTTCCAGCATATGAACTTTGGAGGGACACATATATTGAAACAATAACACAACCTTATTCATAAGAGCCTCGAACTGGAAAAATCTTGCAGAATAGACTAGCAAATCATGGCAGAGTCATTACACGAAATACTACCTAGCTGCACAAGTGCTTACTTCTGCTCTACACAGAATGAATGCGTCTCACAGACGTAATGTTGAGCAAAAGAAACCAGACACAAGACAGTACATAGGACATTTACAGCAAGTTCAGAAACAGACAAAACCAATCAATAGCGCAGAAGTCCAAATAGTGAGCAGCTGCTTCTGCCTGGTAGGAATTGTGAGGAGCATGAGGAACTGGCAACGTCCTGTATCTTCATCTGGCTGTGGTCACAGGTGTATGTAGAAGTCCACCCATCTGCATATTTTCTGGATATGAGTTATACCTAAGAACAATTAAAGTCTACATTTTAAGAGGATTGGGAAGCCACAGGAGAGTTTTAGGCCATGATGTGACATAATGTGATGTTCATTTATAAAATGTCACTCTGTTTGCTGAAAAACAGAAGAGAAGTGAGAGCAGCTGTGGTTGCCCTACAGACAGACAAGGGTGCCCTGGACTTAGGTGGTACTGGTGGAAATGAACAGAAGTGGATGGTTTCAAAGATATTTAGGAGGAAGAATCAACAGGACAAGATTTAGAAGATGCAGTAGTTGGGTAGATGGATTGGGGAATGGGAAAGAGTTTGATGGATGCACGGATGTGGAGGGACTGGGAAAGAGGGGATGGGTGGTGGGAGAGTGAATGGACAGACTGGGAGGGTGACTGGGTGGACAGATAGGTGCATGGGTAGGCGGGTAACGAGACAAATGGATGAACACTTCAGCTGCTGGACTCTGGTTGCTGCTGCCCCAAAAGTGCGGCTGAATTGCAGTAGTCAGTAAGCAGGCAGGCTTTCCCCAGAGACATCTGTGTTTACACTCCTATAGCTCCCTAGTGCCCCAAGGAGAAAAACTAGTTACTACAGTGTCCATCAGGGAACAGACACTTACAAATAGGCCAGTTTAATGAGATGCAAGGATCTCCCAGTCCTCAGGGCATTATGGGGAAAATACTGGTGACACCCTAGTGAATGGGGATGAGGTGGGAGTGGAAAAACCTCCAGAACCTCCCCTTGGAAGCCATCAGTCTTCCTTCTCTTCCCTCTCATCACCACCAAACCACCAGCATTGTCACCACCACACAAATTGTGTTTACTCAGGTAAAAAATACGGGCCTGTAGGCGATCCTCTGGTGAGAGAAAGATTTACCTCTTGGATGAGATCTCAGCGCATTCCCATAGTGGCTGATTTACTAATCCCTGGGCCGGCAGCAGAGTCCTGTGGTCCAGCCTCCACTTCTTGCCTATTTGGTCCAGTAATCTGCTCCTGTTACCTCATAGCAGGAGGGACAGGAAGGCAGGGAGGCACAAGGCCGGGCAGTGTAGAAGAACACCTGTTTTCAGAGGCAAGAAGGTCTTAAATCCTACCAGGAGATACCCCGATGATCCCGATGATCCCGATGATCCCGGAGCTGGCTCCAGATGCTCTAAACCCCAATTCACATGCATTTCCTAGACCTGGAGCCTGGCTAATTTCTCTCCCTGTGGGAGTCTGACAGCTCAGCCTCCAGAGCTTTTCTCTCGCCTCCCCAGGCAGACTGGGTTTGTGCTATTTGGGTAAACAACATTCCCCTTGGTCTTCAAAGGCTGACTCATTTACCTGGTGGCAGGACTGAGCAATTCGTTCAGCCCACCCTACCCCTCATCAAAGATACCAGGACTCAGGGTGGGAGCAAGGACCCTGTAGTATTGGGGGATGGAAGACCCAACCTCTGGGGCAGGCAATAGATCTCATACCAGATACAGGGATCTACGGCTGTGTACTGCAAAGTCACATTACTATTTAACTCAGAAGCCTCTCTGGGCTTTCTAGAATACATCTGGGAACAAGCCGCGCTAAAGTCATCATGCCCCAGAGCTGTGATTTCATCTAGTTATTTTATACCCTGCACCCAAGTTAGAATATAGTCTTTGGATCTCTGTTGGCCATGAGAAGATACTTAATACTTTAAAACCCTGAATGTTTTGAATTTCCCCCACCCCTTAGACTGTGTATCATGTTAACTCTCCCTCCCTCAGCTGTGAGGAAGGTGGTCACTCAGTCCTTGCTTTGGTGGGGCAATGTGAAGGGGGTGGAGCCCGGCTCAGGAATTCTGCAGTTGTCTTTTTGCAGGCGTTTCTACCCTACTGCAGTCACTGGCCAATCTTCCCGTTCTGCAGCTGCTAGGAACTGAGAGTCTGGGGCAGGGTACAGCTGGGCCAGCTGTCAGAGATAGAGTGCACCGTGAAGCTCTGCGTGACTCACATTCCAGTACAGGGGAAATGCGCAAAAGTTACATGCCGCCTTTGGGGTGCCAAAAATCATCTTGGCTTTGTCTTACAAGATGTTCAGCTTGCAGAGTGTGGGGCAAACAGAGGAAGGGAGTGGGGAGGAGGCAAGGGGAGCAGATCTGTCTCCAGCCAATTATGCCAGTCACACACCCTCCACGGCTCCTAATAACAACACTCAGCATTTAATCAGCCCCTTTGTGGAAGTAGACGATGTCACACTCATTAATTAGTTAATCTGCACAGCCCCCCTGGGAGGAGGAGCCAAGTTATTATCCCCACTGGGACACAGAGGGAAACTGAGGCTAGAGTGGGAATTTGGCACTAAGCTGAAAGGCGCACAGTCTGGCAGCTGGCAGGACCAGTCTAAGGCTTGTCATCTATTCTGGTACCCTCTCATCCTTCTTCTCAGCTCCAGTCTGCTCATAGCTCTGGTGATTATCTCCAAAGACCTGGCCAGACTCTAACAGCATTGGGCCTGAAGGGGCTCAGAGAGAAGGCCAATTGTGGCATTAGAGTAGAGAGGATGCAGCCTGGTAGCTGGACCAGGTCAAGTCCCCCGAGGGATAGGCTCTGAACCAGCCACTCCTTATAATATGCTTCTTCCAAAGGGTCTTAGAACTAGGACTACAGGTGATAATGGTGCCTAACTAACATTAGCATCATAATGTCGGCTTTCTGTGCAGCCAACTCCAGGTTTTGATAGTGTGTCTGGTGGGTTTACAACCTAAGGGAAGGACATTTCCACCAGGAGGCGCAGTCATGGTTCCACTAAATTGGAAACTGGGACTGCCAGCTGGACTTGGGGCATCTTCATCACACACATATTATAGACAGAAAGGATATGGGTGGAACCCAGAGCCCCTGCGGAGCACCTCCTTATTGTGCCCAGCAGTAAAGCTAGATGGGAGCCTGCTGAGGCGATTTACAGCCAGGATCAGCAGAAGCACAGCCCTCAAGGATGAAGCCTTAGGTCAGTCTGCAAGGCAAAGAATCCTGACCAAATGAGATGCAGCCAGCAGGCAAGAAGAACATGGCATAAGGAGTTACAAGAATAAAGTTATAGGCTCGGCGCCTGTGGCTCAAGCGGCTAAGGCGCCAGCCACGTACAGGACTCGCAATCTCATTTCCAGCCTAAATGTCCAGGTAATTTTCAGTCCAATGCTTCGCCTCAATGCATATACCTGTGACTCCCACATGTACTGAACTGCAGAGGACCACCATGATTTCTTGGGGCGACAACAGGGCCCAGGAGACGTTTCAGAGGTACTTCCTATGCTTGAAACACATTACCCCCATCTTTCTGCCTCTGACCCAGCTGCGTCATCTGACCTGCAGGGGAAGACTCCCACCCCCAAGGCTTAAGTTCCTGCCGGCTCAAGGGCTATGTCCACCCTCTTTGCGTAGCTGCCAGGGCCCGCGCTTCCTGCTCTGTGGCACGTCCTGCTCTGGTTTTGCGATAGCAGGCATCAGCTCCAGAGCCGTTCTCGGGGCTGTTAACTGGCAGCGTAAATGAATAGGCCTATGCGAAGGGACCAGAAGGGACGATTTTCTTCATTTACCAGAAATTCAAAACTGACCAAGAGGTCCTTCGGTGCCAGGCATGATGCAGGGGTGAGGGTGGGCACACAGGGGATAAAGATGTGTGGCGACTTGAGGAGCGCTCAGTCACCCGAGGAGGTGGGACCCATCTCTTTCTTTCCTCCCCCCAGTGAACCAGTTCTCCAGTGATCCTGCTTGCTTTTTTCCTCTCCCACGCTAAAACCGGTCACGCGGGGCCTGAAGGAGGGGGACACTGGGCGGCTCCCTTTACCGCGTGCCGTGCGGCTCGTCCAGCCCCTCCCGGCCGCCCACGGAAGCCCCGCGCGGCCCGACCCCGGCGCCCACCGCCCCCACGCGCGAGCCCGCGCCCGCCGAAGGCTCCGTTCTTTGGGGCCTCGACGCCGCTCCCCTCCCTGGCGCCAGGGGGCGCTGCCGCATCACTGCCGTCGCCATGGTCACCGCTGGCGGCGGAGTGGGGTTTACGTAAAGGACGCAGCGTCCCCCGGGGGGCGGAGGCGGCCTTCGCGCCGGCGCCGGCGCCCTGCGGAAGCGGCGTTAGTGAATCGGGCCTTGGGAGCCCAGGATGGAGGTGGCGGTCCCGGCGGCGGCCCGAGCCCTGCAACGGGCTGGAGGTAAGGGGAGCCTCGGGCGCGGCGGGCCGGCCCCGGGCGTTGGTGTGGTGCGAGCGGTGCGGCAGACTGGGCAGTGTCCAGGGCGCGCTGTGGCCGGCCCGACGGGTTAGTGGACGGAGTTACTATTGCCACGCGCGCCCCTGGCAGGTGTGAGGTCCGTGGAGCCCTTGGCACCGGTGAGAGAATGGTGACATCTGGCACAGGCGTGGGCAACGTGGGTCCAGCACAGGCAGCGTGGTTTTTCTGGCATGTGTGTCAGAAGACTCACCCCCACCTGGTGTGGTGGCCGCTGCCTAGGTGTGAGGCGGGTGCAGCCCTCTGTACAGGTAGGTGACCGGGACAGTGCTTGGACTGGTTCTGGGGTGAGTGGCTAGCTAGTACCAGCATGATAGTGCCGCTGGCATGGGTGTGGGAGGTGCTGCCATTGCTTGGGTGTGCAGATGGTTCTGGCCTTGAGTTTGACATGATCTGGGTGATGGCACTGGGGGCTTGAAGAATCAGTGTCTTCAGCGTGGCAAGAGTTCCTGCGTGGCTGAGAAACGGCCTTGGCATACAGCGTGGTTTGGGAGGTGCTGTCTGAAAACTGGGAAGGGAGAGTTGGTGGCCTTTAGACCCTGATGGATGGGAAGGGTAAATGCCCATCCTCTCACCCTGGCCATGATGGGGGGCACTGGCTCTGTTATGGGGATCCAGTTTTATTAATGCCTGTTGGGTACACTGGTCTGAGGCGAGCAGAAGGCTGGAAGAAGGTTGGTGTCCTTCATCATGGACATAAAAGAAAGATGCCAGGAAAAGCTTTTACCACAAGAACCCTGATGGTGACCCGGACAGAGACCTGTCCAGGTATGAACATTGTCCTGGGCTCACAGATTCATCCAGCTTTGGGGAAGAAGGGAGAGGTGGACGGTTCTTAGTGACGATCACTGTCCCTAAACATGTAATGAGGAATGTGCAGGGCTGAGAGGTGACCTGTGTCATTAGGCTGGAGAGGGTGTGGTTCACTTATCTGTAGTCGCCTGGTCCTGCCTTCTCTTTGGGTTAATAGGTTTGCTCCAAGGTATCTAGGAGTTGCCTGTCTTCTTTGATGCTTGGAAACCTTTCTGTCCAGAGGAATCATTTGAGGGATGACTGAAAGATGGTTCTGCACACTGGCAGTGTACAAGGATTGTGTCTGCCCTCACTAGTCCTTTGGGAAGCTTTTGGTGAGGATCTCGCTCAATGTCACATAGTGTGATACTTCACAGAGGAGCGATTTCTGGACCCTCAGAGAAGTCTTAGGATGTCAGGGAAATGTTCAGATCTTTGGGGAGGTGGGATCAGGAGCTGCGGAATGAAAGGGTCAAGCTTGGACTGGATATGAGGAAGGCATTTTGGAATTCAGAAAGATGCTGTTAAGGGTTAGAGATTAGGGTGCGAGTGGTTGTGAATTTGCCAAGGTTGGTGCTTAGAGATGTTGGTGAATTCCCTAAAGCTGGAGTATTGTTCAGTATATTGGAGCCGGACAACTTGAATTCCAGTCTTGGCTGTGTGACCTTGAGCAGGTGTTACATTATGGTCAGGTAGTAAAGAATGAAAGGCAATGGTGCACGTGGAAACCCTTTGCAAACAGTGAAAGGCTGTACAAAGGTCAGAGACTCTCATCAGGTAAAGAGACCAGGGCAGGAGGCAGGAAGCAGGAAGCGCAGGAAATGGAGGCATGGGATCTGACTGGGGAGGAAGGGAGCTGGAAGGTCGAGGGCTTGTCATAGGGAATTAGAGGCCCTGTGTGTACATGCTCCTGGTGGAGGGAATAGTGGGATCTGTTGACACTGAGTCAGCTGCTGATTTGGAACCAGGCCCCAGGTCTCCTGAGGACGGTTCCAAGCATGGCCACAACTATGAAGCCCTGCAGGAGTGGCCCAAGCAGGAGGAAGCCTTTTGCTGGGGCTGCAGACGTGCCTCACTGTCAGGGTAGGTCTGGGAGGTGTCTGTAGCTGACAGATCTAGGGTACCTGTGTGGGAGGGAGACTTGGGAAGTGTGTGTGTTTTCTCTTGAGAATTTCCTTTGGCTCTAGGTTCTGAGAATGGGGGTTGGGAGCAGTCACATTAGCGTTTTTGGGGGCTGTGGCCTGAAGAAAATGAAGTGCGTTGGAGTATCCACACTGTGGATATGGCCCAAGGGTAAATAGTCCCATGAGGAAGGTTGAGGCTGGATGGCAGGGACACTGGGAAGTATGGAGGATGCCCTCAGACTATGGCGCTGTGGGTATCCTCAGAGTGGATACTGAGGGAACACAGGTGTGGCACCTCTCCTGATGTGGCTTCACTTCTGCTGAAGAGCCTTACCAGGTGGAGGGTGGCTGCAAATCGCTTTGCTCTCTGCCACCAGGATCCTAATTTCTGACACAGGGTTGCAGAGTCTGAATTACAGGGCCCCACAGCTTGGAGGATTGGTACTGGAAAGCCTGTTTCTCAAGCATTTCATGTGTGTCCGCCTTAGCCAGCAACCCATTTCACATATTTACTCCCTGAGGCAGAAAGTTTTGCCCAGTGTCCAGGCTGCAGTGTCACCACGTGGGTGGAAGGAGGACACAACCCTGCCAGGCTCAGGATGGTGAGCTGACTTTTCCATGCAGTGGGACTCACCCAGTCCCTGTGGCTGTCTCTGACACTGCCTGCCATTGCAAGTGCTTCCCCAGTCCCAGTTTGGTTTGAGAGTGTCTGAGGCTGTCCCATACGCTCCCTGTGGCACCATCACACCTCCTCCAGGAGTTGCTGGGTACTTCAGCTCCTGCCTGGAAAGCTCTCAAGTGCAGAGTCCATTAAGGAGGAAGCCTTCTGCCTCCCTGTTGTGAATATTCAGTATTCATGTCCCCTCAGCTCACCCTCCACACCTCCTCCTGTTTGTTCTGATTTGTGGCTCAGCCTTATGATTTGGGGCTCCAGGAGCCCTTTTCAGCCATCCCTTGCCATCTGCTTGGAATGCTGGGACTTTGCACAGCAGAGCTGGGGGACAGATAGGGTAGATCAGAAGACTTTGAGATGGGGAGTTGGCCTCTGTTCCCCAAAAGCAGAGCTGAGCCTTCTTCCCAGTCTTAGGAGTCTGAGGCAGTAGGGAGCTCAGCCAGGTTTCTGCTCCTTGTCATTATGTGTAGATGGTGATTTTGAGCAGAATCCATCTAAGACAGGGGACTAGTAACATAGGAGTGGACATCTCAGGCTTATGGCTCTCTGGAGCTGAGATTTTTCAACTCTGGTTCTGAGTCCTATTCCCATTTTCTTTGTCCATCTTTCTCCAAAAGTTGCTTTACTCAGCTCCTGGCAACCTTTTCTTCTTCAGCTTCCCCGTAAATCATGGTGCCCGGCTGCTCTGCTTTAGGGATGCCAGGGAATCAGGCATCTCTGGCCAGGGGATGCTGGACTAGAGCTGACAGCACCAGGCCAGATGGCTGCAGCTGAAGGCACAGCCTCACAGCAGAAGTCACTCTTCCCCTGTCGTTCTCCCCAGGACCAGAGGGGGACCCCAGTGTTTAATCACCTGTTGGCCTAGCACTCCACCTGAGTTCAATTTCTCACTGGAATAGCTTTGCATTACACGCTGATAGACTGGGCAAGTAGCACTGGGGGAAATATCAATGAGTGTGTGGTCAGAAGGAGATAAATCTTCTGAAACCGCGGAGCCCAGGACATTGCAGGATGTGGTTACCTCCCCAGCAGACAGGGCTGAAAATTTTTTATTTTGATTTTTTCTTTTCCTTTCTGATACTGACTGGGTTGGCTGGGGAAAAGAGGGAGTATGTGGGGGGGGGGGCGGGCACATGGGCATGGAAGACCCAGGAAACTGCCTTATGGGTGGGGACTTCTTTGCCGCCAAGGAAGGAATCCAGGGATTGGTGTGACCACGGGTGAGGGTGCTGTTTCCATGGAGTGCTTGACAGGAATGCCCAAGTCCTCTACCAGATCGAGATGGGGCTGTTCCCTCTGCAGAGCTGCCCAGGGAGTACACGTGTGTGAAGCCGCATGTGCCCATAAATGTTTCTGTGGGAAGTGAGGGCTGAGGGGGTGTGGAGCGCCTGGCGGTGTGGGAGCTTGCGGGCGCCCGTGTCTGGCTGGCCTGGTGTCGGTGGGTGTGTGGAGCAGGGTGTTGCTGGGCTCCTCACAGCAGGAGAGAACACTGGGAGCCGGAGGAGGCTGCCTTCAGGCTTTGGGAATTTAATAAATCATGTTGTGATTCTTACGAGAGGAGCCTTTCTGCTTTCTCAGTATTCCTTAGAAGGAAGCCCAGGCTGGAGGCGTGGCTCTCAAACGCCCATATGTGCATTACCTGGGGGCGTCTCACACACGCCCTGCTTCCAGCTCCTCCTCCAGCCACCTGGAAGTCAGCTAGGGACAGTCCACCCAGATGACAGAAGATAACATTATAGCCCATAGGCATTAGGACATTAAACTCTGGAGCCAGACAGGCCCAGATTTGAATTCTGTTCTCTTTCTACAACTCAGTTTCCTTATCTGTAAGATGGGGCAGTGAAACCTCCATGTAATGCTTGGCAAGTAGAGATCACGATAAGTGCAAACAATCCAAAAATGTCTTTACTCTTGCAGCCCAGAATCTTCTCTATAGAAAAGTGGTTACATCATGATCTGCTTGTGTTAGCATCAGAAAGATAAAATAGGTCCCATTACTTGATAAGAAGTTGTTTTTTTTTTGAGACAGAACCTCAAGCTGTCATCCTGGGTAGAGTGCTATGACATCACAGCTCACAGCAACGTCCAACTCCTGGGCTTAAGCGAGTCTCCTGCCTCTGCTTCCCAAGTAGCTGGGACTACAGGCGCCCACCACAATGCCTGGCTATTTTTTGGTTGCAGCCATCATTGTTGTTTGGTAGGCGCAGGCTGGATTAGAACCCTCCAGCTTAGGTGTATGTGGCTGGTGCCTTAGCCACTTGAGCCACAGGCGCCGAGCCTACTTGATAAGCAGTTGAGTTAAGTCTACCCTGTCCTTGGAATGGACAGAATTTTGC